ATTCGTTTTTTGGGACTGTATACTATCCTACTGTACGCGCAGTCGACACAAATTGTCAATTTTACTCAATATAACTATTCCAATTTAACTATTCCGCATCACAGATAACCTTAAACATTTCAAGCTTTTGCCTTCATTGCCAGCGACAGAAGACCACAGATCTAATAATTATTAGATCTGTGCAGAAGACCCTGACTTTCAACGTGTCACAACTAATAAAGTATCAAATAACAACTATCTATTACTTATTTATATAAGTTCCGACAATTGTCATATTCATTTCATGCTTTAAACCGAAACAAGAAACGAAGGGTGAATACATGTGTCTTCATTTTTTATCATTTTGCTGAGAAAGAGAACATTAAAAGAAGCCTGCGTTTGGGGAACGACTTTAGACGCAAGCCATCTATATAAATACAAAGAAAATAAGATTTAAACAAAGGTTAGTGAAATCTTTTCGCATTTTCAATTCTTGTGTCGTCATACAAACGTTTCATCAATAAAATAGATTTCCTGTTCACCATACCAAAACCAACATTATTAAGAAAAAATGTAGTTAACTAAGAAAGTAGTAACACTTTTAGATAAATTTTGACGGGAACTTGTCTTATATGAAACTTGTGAATCTAGATTGAGCTTAATTACTTCCACTTGGTCAGCCCAAATTGTCGTTTCTCTTCCTTTTACACATTTATGATGTAATATAAGATTATCATTACTTTATTACAACCACATTTTGTAGACATTGAAAATCTTTTCATGCATTCAAGTATCAATGATTTATACAATTTACACTGTCTGATTTCATTTCCATAAAAGTTGAAGTATGTTTAGTATGCTCGCGTGACCGAAACATATATATATTTTATGATACAAATATTGCATAAATATACTCATCGTAAACCAGCTCATCAGACAACTCTACGAGATGCTTTAATAGGTCTGGTACACAAAATGAATGATAGCACAACGCTGTAACAAAACTAGTCTCCCACTAACGACCTTATCTAACAACATTTGAGAATTAACTTTGCAAATTGTAAAGATGCATGACAAGTCTACAACGCAGAGCTTTATACGCTACAAAGTCCCTAACTTGTGACCGGTATTCGAAAATTGAAATTGTTTATCATAGAACGTAAGCACTAGCTGAATAATCCTGCTCATTTTTGTTTGAAAAGTCAAAGTGAGTTTAGTCATATAAATCAAAGCACGACGTCCATAATAAATATCAGTAACATAATACGGTATTAATGTTAGACAATACATAATTGTCCTTCAGTGAAAAATCCGCTTTCCACTGGAAAAGAATGAATCTAATATCGATGTTAAACATAGATTATTACAAGCATGTCGCTTGCCGATTTGTATAAAGTATACTTCACAAGGTTAAATAGTTGGAATGTTATTAAACAAAACAATGATACACAACGCTATAACCAACAACTACAGAACAATGACGACCTTATCTTAAGTCGTCTACTCTTTGTAAAATGTTGATTAGAAATCGTTTATTTAATCGTTTTATAATCTTCAAGTTCTTTCAGTTTAAGATTGTCATTTGATCGCTAAATCGCATTGCAGTAGCGCGTTCAAATTTTCAAGAAAATAGTCATTTAGTGTCATGTAAAGTGTTGTAAAGTAACTCTTGAATATTTACACATATAAATTAAAACATAGCAGGACATTCTTTATTATAATTCAATTTGTTCACGCTATATTTTCATTGAAAATATTAAGCCCGCTCAGAACTTTTTCCGATGAATGAAATCGGTAATATAAATCCGTTTTTAGTTTTACTGTTTTATATTCATTGTTAAATTTTTACATAGAAATATAAGCATTTTATTTGAATAGTATTCATACAAACACAGCTAATTTTACTAATGTTTGCTTTTGACAGAGACGCAATAGATTTATACACAAGCTCTACAGTACAAATCAATATGTCGCAATTCTATGTCATTGTATCATATGATATTTACAATAATGACATTGCCAGATTTGAGATAACTTAATGGTAATGAAGGATTTCGCGAACTTATCAAGCGAGATTTACATTCATCAAAACAAAGCTAGATAATCTTTCGAAAATAGACCTTTCCTCCAGTTTGAACTACTTGGAGGAAGGATTTCTTCTACTTTTAATTGCATTGACAAAGTAGAAAGTGATAGAGAATGTGAAGAAGCAAGTAATAATGATGAGTCTCAGGCAACTTGTACTGCCATCACCACCAGTATGATCTTTCCCGTGCAATACAACATTCAAAGGTTTTGAAATGGCAAAGGATCGATTTAAAAATCCCGTGAAAGCAACGGATGTTTTCAACAACAAAATTTAAGCTTGGAGGACAGAATTTTGCCGTTTTGTTAAGATCATGGCACAAATTTTTGAATGTCCGGAGCATCAGGAGATTGTCATTGATTTATGTTTATCTTATATAAAAACTGCATGAATTGGACGGTGTTCGTCAAATGTTCTCTGTTTTATCGGTGGTGGCATGAGAGCGATGTTCAAAAATCTCAAAGAATGGAAAACATGAAGTCTGTCATTCTTCTCAACCATCATTTATATCAGTTCATTGCAAGGATCAACAACAATCATGATCATTTATCAACTTGGCCAAGTATTGAACTTGGAGACGGAAAAATGTTTAATCCAATACAGGACTGGCGCAAGGAATTCGCTGTCGAGTCTTGGGATAAAAATTTGATTGAATCTTCCCAAGAAATGGAAAAAATGAAAACCATGATGTTTGAACTTTTGGGCAAGATGACTATAAATGAACATTTTGCTCCAATATTGACATCACCAGTTGAATTAGTTATGGATGTATTAAGAAGTGATATTTTGGTTGCTGAAGGTTACAGAGTTGAAATATTTTCATGGAAGGAGAAGAAATGGTTTGAGATTGCATCAATGGAAAACGCACACATGGGTGCTTCATCATTTATTTATAATGATGATTTATTTGTTGTTGGAGGATGGGGCTGCAAGTCAATGGAGACATTGAATATAAAACAGTTACCTTTGACATGGAAGAAATTTGCCACAGAGTTTCCTTATGAATGTAGTGGTCATCAAACTGTTGTTTATAAACAACAAATCTTTCTCATTGGAGGACGCAGTGGTCAGTTGATCAGTGAAATAAAGATTACTGGCACAACATCTCATGTTTTAAAAGAGTTGTGTAGTATGCCTGAACCACGTTGGTGCCATGGAGCTGTTGTTGTTGATGATAAAGTTCTTTTTTTTGGAGGACAGGGAAAAGATGGCAAAGTTTTGTCCAGTGTTTTGGAATTTGATCCAAGGACTCTTACATTTAAGGAAATGCCTCCAATACCTTATCCAGTGTATAAAATGGCAACAGTTCAATGGAGAGATCAAGTTGTTCTTCTTGGAGGTTTCGATGGAAGAAACTACTTTAACAATGTTATCATGTATGACATTAAAACAGGAAAGATTACAGTCTTACCATCTATGTTGAAAAAGAGACACGAGTGTTGTGCAGTTATAACTGGTGATACAATTGTTGTCATGGGAGGTGAAAAATTTGGACTTAAATCAGTGGAGTGTTTCGAAATGGGAAGCAGTTCTTCATGGACATACCTTCCTTCAATGAATGAATTACGATGGAGAGCTATTGCTGAAGTTTTACCTTTTGGACAAAAGTATGTCTAAGACACGAAATTTCATTAAGTTATGGAACGTTATAACTCATCAATGTTCGTTTGGACTACATTGGATGATAAATTTGTAAAATTTAAAATGCATAGTTCAAAAGTTCATATAATCATTAATTATTTTGATAAATTTCTGAAATAGATGAATGTCTTTTGTATCTAAATAAGTTTGAGTTTTTAGAGGATAGTTTATACCTTTTTTCTTGCCTTTGTTTCATTGCAGTTTATTGAACAATAAAATACAAGTTTTCCATGGTAAAAATTACTTTACTTAAAATATTTTTCGTAGTTTTAAAATACTTTATTTCCCAGTTTACCATCCACCACATTTATAAAAATCTACTAATTATCTTACACATTTGAAATGTTGTGAAGACAATCAGTTTGTAATTAACTTCTCATTCGTGAAAACAATCACTTTCTGCATTACTGAAGTAATAATATTTAAGGCTCGTTCACACGAGTAAAATAAGCACGAACGTCGAGACTTTTGTTTCTATTGCTCTAGAGTTTTATAAAGACAAACACATTGGGATTTTCTTTAAATCTTTTTTTTGTTCTTCTTTTGTTCTTCTCTTAGCTTATGCTTGAATTTTTTAATGAGATTTCACCGCCATTTCAAAAGAAAGCAAAAGAAACAGTGGATTTTACTCTGTATCCTACCACGTTTGGTAATCTTCAATAAATGTAGGTCCATTTGAGAAATAGCAGTTGAGTAAGATTTCCAACGTTTTTCGTGGATAAAATTTTTAAGTTCAAATTTTCATACCTTATGCACATCTTAAAGAGAGAAACTGGCAATCACCCAAAGAAGTATGGAAAGATCAATGCTCGGCGTCACGAGGAGAGATAAGATCCGGAATGAAGACCTGAGAGCAAGAACAAAAGTGAAGGATGTCATCGAGAAAGTTAATAAAGCCAAAGGAAAGTGGGCAGGACACCTAGCCCGAATGAAAAATCATGAATGGGCAAGGAAAACAACCGAATGGACCCCGTGGGACAAGAAAAGAGGCAAGGGAAGACCAAAAAGGAGATGGAGAGATGACATCGAGCAGAGAGCGGGCAGCATGTGGACCCAGAGAGCCCAAGACCGTAAAGAGTAGAGAAAGATGTGGAGGCCATCCGCCAGCAGTGGCGTGACAGGCTGATGATGATGATGATGATGATGCACTGCTTGTGCTAGTTCAATCATTACGTCTAGTGATGTATCTTTTATGCCATGCTTTCGGTCGGAAGATGAGTAGAAATTTCCCAATAAATAGTAAATATTCTATTTGGAGATGAGATAAATATTATTTCACAAACAATTTGCAATATTATGTTTTATTCGTTCATTTTTACGCTTTTATTCGGTGGTTCGTAATCGTAATACAGCAAAATCTCAAGATTTGTCTTGTAACCTAGCAACTGCCTTTTCTCGCACATTTCAATGCATACTCACGTGATTTCTCCACGTATTCCGCCTATCTTCAGAGGACGGAACCATTGAGTTCTATAATAACTGGAGCAGCTATCTCTCAAAAGTTGATTCAAGTTTGTTTTTGCGTTTGAATTTCGTATCAGAGTAATCATGTAGACGCATTTACATGAATTTTGAAAATTTTTGGCCAGAAGAATCATCGCAAAGGTAAGAAATAAGAATAAGCCATTATATTTCAGATATATTTGTAAAACTTGTAGTTTATGGTAACATTTCATCAACAGTTTCAAATTATTCATAGCATGTCTGAGATTCAATTAGTGGCAAGCACAATCGTGCTGAAACAATTAAATTTTCCAGTTCATTTTACCTTGAATTAAAGTATTTATCATTCACACATTACTATATTTTGAAGCACTCATTTTTATTGCACAATTTGCACTGATACCATAACAATGATTTTGTTGCATGTCAAATAATATTGATAATAATTTTATCTGCATCTATAATGTGTTGACAAGGTTATGGCAAAGTCAACATTAAGGCAACTTGCATGAAAAAATTGACCTCATTGATCACAACCCAGCCAGTCTTCATTGTCATCCTCTCTGCATATTTTGCAAACAGCCGCATTTCGCTTCCTAAAGATATTCATAATGAATTCCATATAAAAATATTCAAACAAATGTTATTAATGCCTTACCGTGTGATATCATCATAGCAAGACTCAAGTAATGTTGAAAGGTTTCATTTTCTCTCAGTCTCCATGTTTGCTGGTTTTTGATCCAAGCCAAGCGCTAGACATCGAGCAAACTGATGGGAAATGAGCAGTTAGTGAATAATCATGTTTGTAAAAATAGCTATTCAAGTAAAGTTAGGCTATTTTAAGCTTCCCAAACATATGTACACTCCACAGTTATACATATCTTCCTGTTTACAATGGAGTGGCTCAAAACATTGCCATGAACTTGAGTTCCAACCTGTTTTTACATCTACGAAAGCACTAAAGCAGTGACAAACAATGACCACATGAATGATAATATTGATTGTTGAAAATAATTTTTGGGCAAATCTTTTAAGATCAAGTTTGATAATTACCTTAGTTTGTTTATACAATACATCATCTGTGTATTAGGTGTCTTTTTGTCTGCACTTCCTCCAAGTGAGTCAAAGTAGAGTCTTGTTTTTGAGAACTTATCTATAGTCTATGTTACACAAAATTACTGTTGCATTTAGTTAAAAATTTTCTCTTTGTTAATTAAGGAATTAAATTAGTTAATGTTTCTATAGATACTAATTTTTGCATGTAAATCTGTTGACTCATGTGGGCTAAGTATGTGTATAATGCATGTCTATATTTTATTATTTAGCTCAAATACTTACCAGTAGTGTCCAATGAATGCCATGGATGTTGATTGGAAAAAGGATAATTTTGGTTTGGTGAAAAGATATATTAGCCTATGTGCATCTTGTGCTTGAGTTGTTTTTAACAATCTCTGAAATAAATGATTCTGCTGCAAGAACAGTAGTGTAGTTTTAGTCAAACTCCACAAAAAAGCGTCAATTATCCAAAATCAAAAGAAAGCATACTTTGAAGAGATTTCCTCTCCAGTTTTACGTGTACATAGGATTCTACTACGTCATCAGCTATGGTCGTGTCAGAGTTGTACGAGAGAGCATACGCATGCGTAAGTTGGAAACGCTGCCAAACAACTCCACTCAATAAGGTATTTCAATTCAATGGCATTTTGACATGGCAAGACAACTTAGATTTTGTATGTCTGTAGCTACGTTTCTTTAAACCACCCTTTTGTGGCAATAATCTTAACTTCGTAAAAACTTTAATTGTGTAAAAATTGTGCTTCGCGACGACACGAATGATACACACCAACGTAGGAGAGGCTGTCGGTTTTTTACTCCTACGATGAAAATATTTTTGTGTTCATTCACTGGAAAAAAACAATGAATGGAAATTATGTAATTCATTTTTTAAAGACATGAATAGCAATTTTGCTGGAAAATTTACGTTTATGGAGTAAATCATGAAAGGCTGGTTTCGACACGTTGCTCTGTGATAGCAGACCACATTCGACCTCAAACCTCCACGGCAGAGGAAAGAAAAGCAGTTTACAATCAATGCAAAGATTTTATGAACAACGAGTTTCAAAATCCTGTTCATGTAGTACAAAGTAATGTTGGAGGGCAACACTTATATTCTTCCAGCACAAAGTACTATGAAATGCAGAAAATCATCTTGTGTGATTTTTGTGTGAGCGCCATGTTTCTCGACTTTCCTATTTTTGTAACTTCCGGAATTGGGTACTACAAAGACTTTTCTTGTATTTTTTATGCATATTTTCAGAGTGTCTGCAAATCACAGATATCACTAAAAACGCTTTTTGTCTGTGCTTCTGCTATGACTCTAAAAGAGTTGCATAACATAAAAAAGCTTTCAAGTGTCTTGTCCGATATCGGCTTTGATCTAAACGCTGTTAAAACCAACATGTCGCTGGTAATATCTAATTTACAGAGTAAAGATTTGTAAAATTCCGTTGCACGAACTTCTGACTCTGTCCCCTTCACTGGAATCAATAAATTTATTCGCAAAATAAATCAATGACGTCATGTTCTTTTTGGTGTATGTAGTATTTAGAATGAGTACGTGTGAACCAAGAGACTGGGACATCCCAGTGTCGTATACAGCACAGAACACGTTTAATCCTATAAGAAATGTTGTGGAGACAATGCACATCGAGGAAAATCCTCAATTGGAGGTGATTCGTCTCACTGTTGGTGAGTAGTTTTCACATTTTATTTCGTAGTGGCAGCATTCGAAGTAAGCGGTTTAAATCAGAGCTAATGTCGAATTAGCGATTTCTGTGTTCGCTCAGTGGCAGACTAATCTTCCGTTGCATTAACCCTTGAGAACGCCGTCCAGGCGACTTCACAATTCTTTTGGATGATTGTATTTTCTTAACAAAAAAGAAACTTCGTTGGATTTCAAATAACGTTTCATTCTATTTATTGCCCTCTTTAAATTGTTGCCGTTTTTAAAATAATTACAAAACCCGTCAGGTCTCTTGGTGACGGTATCTATAATGGATAAATTTTTTCCAAAGTTTTTAAACATAGTCGTACGTGATGGGGAGGGGAGCACGGGAGCAGGTGCCCTCAAAGAAAGTTTGGAGACAGAAAAGTTGGACAACTTTTTAACGTTAGTCGAGCTAAAATACGGTGGAACCTTCATTGTGAGTTGGGGGGAAAAATAAATGCCCCCACAGAAGAGATAGCTTCTGTACGCTTGTGTTTCTAAATCTACGTGTGACAGCTAGGTCTTTGGACGACGGTATCTCATGGACAGTATTTTTCTAAAGAGTCAAAAAAGCTTTTAAAAAAGAAACTAATATTTAATCTTGGACAATTAGTTCAAAGATGACGAAGTTTTATTACTAAAGTAAATGGTTTGAACACAGGAATGTCGTTACATGTTTGTGAACCTGACTCTGAAGATGATTACCACTAAGGTTGTCGAAACGACAGTCAACATCAACAAAAACAGTCCTTCTCAGGACTATACCAACCTGGACGATCTACATCTACAAACATGTGAACTTTCATTAGCATTATCTGGGTTCGGTGCAACCCCCTCACCTTCGGAGCCAACTTGTATGAAACTAACCTTCAAAAACCGTGCATGACTGAGTTATCGTTGGGAATATTTTTTATATTCCAGGTGATCCCACAGTTTTTGGCAACCTACCACCAAGTGAAGAATGTGTTCAGGCGCTCTGTGACGCAATAAAGTCAGGAAAGGACAACGGCTACAAGCCAGCTCATGGTTAGTTACACCGACAGCTTTGATCATAAGAACTAACCCTAATCCTATCCCCCCCCCCGGAAATTTGTGTTCAAAAATATCAATTAACGAAATTGGATTCAAGACAGAATCTTCTAGCTAAACAACAGTGCAAAATAGTTTTTCCTAAATCTTGAGCTAATTGTTTTTTTTTACTATGAGAACAATTGTTAGACTTTGTTTCAACTTTTCGGAACAAATAAGTGCATTAAAAGAACGCTTTTTCAAAAAGATTGATTATCTTCGTAATACAAAGGCTGTATAAAATCCTTCAACATTTTGAAATGACAAAATATGCCAGTTCTTCGACGATGTGTTTGAAATGAATTTAATCAAAATCACAAGATTTTTACAACTTGCGCGATTCAGCTGTAATTCATACCCTAGGAGGCTGAACGGAAGTTAAAGGAATTTCATGTTCGGGATTTGCATTGGATATAGGATTGCACTTTTTTTACACAACCTGTGTGTGTTCCACTATTGCAGTCATATACAATCATCTGTAACTGTTTTTGTAGGATGCAAAGAGGCACGAAATGCCGTTGCAAAATACAGTTCAACACCTGAATACATCGTGGATGCTGAGGTACATATTCCTGCTCCATAACTATAGGGACACTTGTTGATAGTGATATTCAAAGAGTATTTAGGAGTTATTCATGTCAACATGTTTTGTTGTTGCCCTAAAGCCATCGTCTATAATTTTACTTCAAGCTTCTTAGCTCTGAAAAGAACGAACCTTTATTGATGTCTATGGCAGCATAAAGGACTCCCTCTTTTTATGTAAACAGAGAAAGCTGACTTTTTATCGTCTTCCGTCTTCTGCCCTCCCCCCAAGTTTTGCCATCCCACTAAATTCCATTAAAATATAACTCGTTGACAATAGTCAAGCATTAAATCATTTTCAATGAATAATATTCTTGAAAAACGGTTTTTAGTTCACAAAGGGTCTAAGCATCCTTGTTGAATATACTTCTCTCTCCCCTCCTCTCAATAAGTTGTCCATAAGTAAGAAAATTCATTTAATATTTACGTGTTTTAATCTCACCGTTAAAAATACGGGGGAGGTGAATGCGAGTAATGTATGCCCCTACTTAAAATGTACTATGTCTATCAAGGGGAGGATATCTTAGAAAGCAGCTCTACCTGATTTTGACAGAAATGAGAGAGTCAGACCCTTTCACAAGAAAAATTCTATGAAAACGCCTATACTTCTATGTTTATGTTGTTTTCTTTACAGGATGTTGTGTTGGCCAGCGGTTGCTCTGGAGCAATCGAGATAGCATTGAACGCCCTAGTTGATCGTGGTGATAACATCCTAATTCCAAGACCTGGTTTCTCTCTTTGCAAATGCATATCTGGATCGAGGGGGATTGAAGCACGATCTTATAAGCTCTTTGTATGTTTGTGCAAATTAAAGATATTACGTTTATGTTACTGCTTACGACTAAAGACTGTTTTTATTGTGTACTAATTATGATAATGGAGATTAAAGACTGTTCAAAATTTGTTCTAATTGTGATACAGGAGATTAAAGACAGTTCTAATTATATACTTAATTGAAATCAAAGATTGAATAGTTCGAAGGATTCCCTTAAAACTAACCTCGAGTCTTGCTTTCGACTTCATGTTCAAATGAATAATGATTATTCATAATTTTCAGCCTGAAAATGGTTGGGAAGTCGACTTGGACGATATGGCTTCACTTATTGACGAGAGAACAAAGCTTATTGTCGTTGTCAACCCATCAAATCCCTGTGGTTCTGTGTACAAAAGAGAACATTTGGAAGAAATTTTGAACAGTAAATATCTCAAGACATGTACAAGTTTTTTCCGCCGATTTGACCAACAAACTTCGTGCATTCATATTGGTCTTATTTTCTTACAGTTGCTGAAAAATACCGCGTCCCAGTTCTCTGTGATGAAGTTTACGCGCATGTCGTAAGTGTTCGTTAATTGCATGTCACGTGACGACTTTTTAATACGTGCTTGTTTCAACTAATGTAAGGTCATCACGATTGTAATATTCGCTTAGACATGAACGCTTCAAAATATTTGTGCATCTCGAAGTTGGGTAAAATTGAACTGAATAAAATAGGCGTGCAGCCCTGCGGGTTGTACGATTCATGACAAGGTTGCATAGCAAAATATTGGTAAACCCCAATGACCTAGAATTCAATATACATACTAGTTGTCTGACTCTGTCGAAATTTAAAAAACGAGTGAGACAAGCCGCCATTTTGAAAGGTGGGAAACTTGAGGATGTTAATATTACAACTAATATCTGCTTTTCCTGATAAAGAGTTGAAGCGCTGATGTAGTCTAGATTTCATTTTTAAATGTTTGTTAGCATTGGTTTGTTAAGACATCTTTCAAGATGGCGTCCTTGCCTCACGTCGACACGGTTGTTAGACATGCAGGGGGTTAGGTTCTAAATTTTATTGGTACTGCCCGAGAAGGTGATCAGGCTTGGCAACACTGAATAAGGTTTGAACTAAATGAACTTTTTCTCTTATTTCCTGCAGACATTCGGCAAAGAGTCTTTCCATAGCATGGGAAGTTTAACAAAAAATGTTCCTGTTCTAGTTGTCGGTGGCATCGCCAAAAGGTGAGCATGCGCATTTCTATTGCATTACGTCATTTTGAGGAAACCATATAAACGTTGTG